GCGTCTCCCTTAGGGATAGGGTGAGAAGTCATCCGCCAGGGACTCGGAGTAGAGCTGCTTCTCCTTTGCGTAGAAAGGAGCCAACTGAGATGGTTTCGGCATCTGGTGAGGATGCATCCAGGGTGCCTCCCAAGGGAGGTGTTCCTGGCACGTCCAGCTGGGAGGAGGCCACGGGGCAGACTGAGGACCAGGTGGATAGATTATATCTCAACACTGGCCTGGGAACGCCTCGGAATCCCCCAGTCAGAGTTGGCTGATGTGGCCAGGGAAGGGAAGTTTGGGGTCCTCTGCTGGACTTGCTACCCCCGCGACCCGATCCCGGATAAGCGGATAAAGATGAGATGAGATTCAATTTAATTCAATTTTATTTGTATAGTGTCAATTCATAACAGAAGTTATCTCAGGAAACTTTTCAAATAGAGCAGGTCTAGACCGAACTCTTTAAAACATTAATTACAGAGACCCAACAGTACCACCATGAGCAAACACTTTGCGACAAGGGCAAGGAAAGGAAAGATGAGATGAGACATACGGTAGCAAAGAATGTGAAAGGTATTTGAATACCCTTTGTTATTAGAATTGTATATGTGAAGTACAGAAGCATTATGACTGTGATTTATGTCAGACAATGGTTTATGGTTATTAAGAAGCATTTCTTATTTGTATTCATGAAGAAAACTCAAGTTTATTATGAAGTCTTGTAGTGTAATTCATTTATAATTTCTTTTTGTGTGTGACTCTGTTGAAAAAAGTGTTTTTGTTTTTCTTCCAATTGTATTTGTTAATTTAATGAGATTAGCTTTTCTGTGCGTTGTTTATGTGGTTACAGTCTGTATAAGTGTGTATGATTGTGTGTGCGATGGCCCACAGGAAGAATAGCTTGTGCTGGTGATAATGGGGATTCTAATAAACACACACACAGTGCTATTGACATCATCTTTGCACCAAAGACAGAAATGTCTGAATTCTAAACATAGTGACTTTAAATAATAACTATTTCAAATGTTTATGTGAAAAAAATGTATCTAGACTGCAAGAGGATTAAAGGAAAACACCCATTCACAACCCCAACCACATGATTACTTTCTACTATTGAACAGTCTTCTGGTTAGTCTTAAATTTGCCACAAAATGTTATTACCACGGTTGAATGCAAATGCCATAATATGAATTGTGCAATTAACAGTGTAATATGCATGCAATTAATAGTCGATTATTTATATAACCAATCAGAAGGATGACTAAACCTGCAAAAAAACAAAAAAGATGCACATTTTAAAAAGAATGAATAAATATAGGCTATTTTTAATTTGAAGAATTGTTAACTGCAGTTTCTGCATATACATGAATTCTATTTTCAAACAAACTTTTCATGAACATTTTTTTGTTTAAATTCTGTTAAACTTGAATCACCATATGTCACCTGGGTGGTTGTAATGTGCTCTGATTCCTGCTCCTCCATAATCTCCCCTGTGTCCGAGTTAAAGAATGTCCTAATTACAGCCATTTAAAAAAAGTGGGTGACGTCTTTTGATGTAATATTACCCTCCAATCCAATTAGCCCAACACTTGTCAACCTCACTCAACAGTACTGCTACTAGCCTGAAAGTTAGGCCTGGCCACTTATTGCTTCCTTCAGATTCACTACGGTATGCCTCTGCTGAGTACCCAGTCTCTATCTGCTTATGTTTTATTTAAGTGAGAATGAGGTTGTCTTTTTTTAAATGAAGATTGAATGAATTATTATAATTATTATTTTTCTATCACGTTTATTAGAAAAGAGCAGTTAAAGAGAGACAGGAGAGTGCAGAGAAACAGGAGTACTTGGGGCGCCTGCTCTACCAGGTGAGCTTAATTATTCTGTGGGATTTATCAAGCACTAGCCAAGGGTAGGCAACCAGTAGTTCCTGGATCCACATATACTGTGGCTCCCTGTGGCTTTGACAAAACTGAGTAACTGTTATTTTTCAACATTTTGATTTATCATTGTTGTAGGCCTAAAGTGACTCTTTGATTCTACAATTGTGAAAATGTGTGGCCATTATACACCAAATAAAAGGAAGTGTTCCAACATTTAATCAACTAAGATGTGCATCATGCATTACATCCTGACCTAGTGCCTTTTCCTCTATATTTTGCAGAACCTCAATAGTGGTGGTGGGTCTCCCTAACAAGGCTAGCTATTGAAGTCCAAAGAAATAAAAGTCTAAGAGGAAAACAGAGAATTTAATAGTGCATGGACAGATTAATTTGCTTTCACTACCAACGCTGCTGGCTTACTGCTTACTACTATGTTCAATCGGCAAGCATTCGTACTCAATTCTGATTTACTGTTATGATTTTTTGTAACAGGTCACAGTCCCGAAGTGATACGTATGACAAATGTTTATCTAGAGTGACATAAAAGTCACATGTGTTCTGATAAGACATATCAAAAATATCAGACCACTATCTGATTTGTGCTGTTCACACTCAAATAAGATTTGAGTCACATATGAGCAACATAGTCTTGCCCCCTATAATGTTTAATTTGTAAATTTGTTATCATCATGAAGTTTGTGACAGGTTTAGTAGTACCAAGAGCAAATGTAAATTGCAGAACTAAAGGCAGACAAGCTTGGTTGCACTAAATAGAAAGAAGAAACTGGCAGCACACTGCTTCAGTTGAAACCAGTCAGGTTTTGTAATAAATCAAGGACTCCATCTAGTGGCCAAGTGATTTCAGACTATTAAAAACCTCTTAAACATAATAATCATTAGGGAAAATAACCCTGATACACACAACTTATATCACCTTGAAATTCAGCAGTGCAGACAACAGACAGGAGGGCTGGTATGTTTACTGTTGTACTGACAGTAGACAGCAGAGTTAGCAGAAACTTTCCAAACAGCCCCCTCCCCATCGCTTATCAAATACAGTCATGACAAAAAAGTAGATGACCTCTAACATGCACAAACTTAGCACCAACAAACCAAGCTCAAGGTTTCCTTTCATCCAAGACTGTGTTGGTGAGTTGGTCCTGGATGCAATCTGGGCATCATCTTTGATTCCAACCTGTCATTGGACCTGTACATAAAATCTGTCACAAAGTCTGCTTCCACCCACCTGAAGAACATCTCTGCCCCTTCACTGTATAAAACCATTATTCATGCATTTGATACAACTCACCTTGATAAATGTAATTCAAGTAAGCTTTATTTTTAAAACATACAGTGTTTTACACACATACAACTTCACACTTTCAATTTTCAATTCAATTTTATTTGTATAGGGCCAATTCATAACAGAAGTCATCTCAGGACACTTTTCAAATGGAGCAGGTCTAGACCGAACTCCTTATAACATTTACAGAGATCCAACAGTATCACCATGAGCAAGCACTTGGCGACGGGGGCAAGGAAAAACTCCTTGTTAAGAGGCAGAAACCTAGGACAGATCCTTCGGCTCTACAGTAGGTGGGTGGCCGTCTGCCTCGACCAGTTGGGGTGAGAGAGAGAGAGAGAGAGAGAGAGAGAGAGAGAGAGAGAGAGAGAGAGAGAGACAGAGAGAGAGAGACAGAGACAGAGAGTGGCACAGCAACAATAGTAGCAACAACTACACCAATAGTAGTGACTGATGATGATGAACATGAAGAAGACATCGTCTTCACAACAACAACAGCAACGATGGGGGACAATGAACAGTGACAATAGTAATAATAGTAACTGTAGTAATAATAATATTAATAATGATAATAACAATAATATCAGTGATATTAGCAATGGCAATCTAGCAGGACCATGGCAGGAGGCACCACCAGGATCCATGAGAACCTGCAAGACGAGAAAGCACAAGAACTCCAGGGAAGAAGTAAAGTTAGTAACATGCATTAATGGGACATGAATGGGTGCAGAAAGTGAGAGAGAGGAAGAGAGGAGCTCAGTGCATCATGGGAGATCCCCCGATAGTCTAGGCCTATAGCAGCATAACTAAGGGATGGTTCAGGACTCACCTGAGCCAGCCCTAACTATAAGCTTTATCAAAGAGGAACATCTTAAGCCTACTCTTGAATGTGGAGAGGGTGTCTGCCTCCAGAACCAAAATTGGAAGCTGGTTACACAGGAGAGGAGCTTGGTAACTGAAGGCTCTGGCTCCTGTTCGACTTTTAGAGACTATAGGAACCACAAGTAGCCCTGCATTCAAAGAATGCAGTGTTCTAGTGGGGTAATAGGGTGCTATGAGCTCTTTAAGCTATGAAGAGGCTTGACCATCAAAAGCTTTGTAGGTGGGGAGGAGGATTTTAAATTTTATTCTGAATTTTACAGGGAACCAGTGCAGAGAAGCTAGTACAGGAGAGATGTGATCTCTTTTCCTCGTTCCTCTCAGTACTTGTGCTGCAGCGTTCAATTTAACAGTTTAACAGTTAGGTAAACATGCAATTAAAATTAACTACAATTCAACTCCAAATAAAACATGCAATAAAAAGCGACCATAAACTCAGTATTTTAGGAGTTCACCATACAATAATAAACAGTAGCATGAATTATGAAATATTCCTTCAGAAATAACTGTCAATATGGGGATAAAATAACTATTTCAAACTACAGTACCCAACAGCAAAAGTAAACTAAGCTATCAAACACACATGCAATTGCGTGCACACGTCCCAGAGCATCACGGCTTAGGAGACTCAGCAGCAGAAATGTTTTCACAATGCAGGAGAAACTCTGCTAAAAAACAACCCCTTATCAGATAAGAAATGTCCCACATTCAAATTGGAATTTCAGTCAAGATTACAACACAGAGACATGTAGCCCCTGCCTCACAGGCTCTGGAGTGTTTTTGTTGAGACACTGACTGGTCCGCTAATTATACCAATTCACCACAATGTGGTGTCCGCGTCCCACAGCTCACCAGCACACCCAGGAGGCAGAAGGAGAGAGAGTGTAAGTGATTAGTACAAACTGAACAGGTACCAAAATGGTACATTATCCTGCTGTACTCTTTACATATCTCCCCCCTTTTTCATAGCCATGTCCTCATGGTAACTAATTACAATACACAATTTTGATGCCTAGCTGGTTGTTGGCCTTGAGTGGTCATTTGAGATTGGTGTAGGGTGTGCTCATCCTTCTTATCCCTCGTTTCTGACCATGTGTGTTTAGCTCCTGTCTTCCTGTCCAAACCGCTCTACTTCTGAAGGGGCTTGTGATGCATCTCCCTCGGTGGGCTGGATAGGTTGTGGAAGTGGTTCCCTGATGTGGTTTCCACCTTAAATTGGATCTGCAACCCATCTGTCAGACCCAGAGGTTTGCTGACCTATAGGGGTAGAGTTATAGTGGACAAGGGCACATTCAATTCTGATGCAGAACCTTCTCTGATCCCTGTACTATTTCTGGTTTAACTACAAAGACCAGCAAATCTGGGTTATGTTGCTTTAAAATGACATATGGCTCTCCCAAACATCTGACAGCTTACCTCAACTCTTTGCCCCTCGTTGCCACATAAGGACCCTTTCTCCAGGAAGCCGTGACGTACTCACTGGATGTCTGTCATGGCTTTTTTTCTGTTGTTGACAGGTGTTCTCCAGTCATTCAGCTGCCTGCTGGTAGGCCAGTTTAAGTCTCTTGTGGTGTAGTTTGACCCAGTCGGTTTGAAGTTCTGCTGTTTCACTTTTGTGTGCCAAGTGTCACATCCATGGGAAGGCGAGGGTGCCACTCAAACAGGAGGTATGAGGGGGCTTGTCCTGTGGAACTGTGTTGTTATACATAAACACAAGTTCTTGTAGGTAGTCAGGCCACCACAGTTTTTGGTTTTGGTTTTTTGTTTTTTTTTGGGCACGGACCTCTTGATAAATGTTAGGGGGAATCAGCTGGTGTCTCTCACGGCTAGGTGAGGTGTTACCTGCTGGGATGTGATGAAATATAGAGTCAGTTTTGCCAAAATCATGGTCAGTTACTGAAAATACCTTATGATGATGTTCTAAAATGCTCAAGAACCTGCTTTTGCTCTTCAAACAATCACAGATACTAAGTCAATATTTAGAGAAAGTTTCTCATTATAATTACTTACAGAATCTCTTTTTTTGTCACATAGGCAGAAATGGGCTTCCATACTATACACAAGGGACAGGTGGACAAATATGTTTTTTGTCATTTGGGTTAACTGAATCTTTAAAGGACAGGAGATTGTAATTCTAATATGCACAAAATCTAAACATATTCAGTATGATTTCTATGATGTCACTCTCTACATGTAGCATAAAAAAATATCATCCGTATTGCTTCACTGTAACTGAATTTCTTGTTGTCTACTTCCTCTGTGGACGTATTATGTTGTTTTTTTTCTTCATATTGGTTATTTTTCAGAGTACTGTTGTACTCTAGTAGAGATTGCCAACTCTCTCTTGCATGTGCATGACACTCCACGTGAGGAGTCTTACGTAAAACCCTTTTCTACCAATCCGCTTCCGTTCACTAGAACCGGAAGTTGTAAGCCATTGGAATTTTCCTCAAAGCGGTTGACAAGCTTTTCTTACCTGCTACAAAACAGAGCTAACGCTGCGCCTTTTCAGTCAAAGTGTATCCGTCGTTGAATGTGTGAGATGAAACACAACTCGAACGTCCCGGCTTTCCTGACTAAGCTGTGGACTCTGGTCGAGGATGCAGACACCAATGAGTTTATTTGCTGGAGTCAGGTAATGCTAAAACTGTCTACTGTTAGCATGTAGAAGCTAATGCAAAGCAGTCAACGGTTAGCTTAAGTTAACGCAGCAAGCGTAGCATCACGCCACAGCACACAAACGTTAATGAGCAGCCGGGGCTCAGCATAAGTACTGGTTTCAGTACAGAGAGCGAGTACTTAAGCTAGCTGAAGCTAAATGTCAACTGTTAGTTAGCCATTCATTCTCCTGTACCTGGTAGTTTGCAAAGCTAATTCCGGGTCCTGCTTCATGCTAGCATCATCAGTTTATCTTTGACTTTTGGGCGCTGGGTCACTATTAAAGCTCCTCTCTCTCTCTCTCTCTCTCTCTCTCTCTCTCTCTCTCTCTTTCTGTGTGTTTGTGTGTGTGTCACTTCTATGTTAAAATTAAACATTCCAGTCAAAACCTTAAAATGGCATTTTTGCATGAAAATGATGCACCGCATGAATTACTAATTCAAAGAAGGTTTGTTTTTTTGTTTAATTTAATGGTCATATCATAAAGGACACACCACAATAAGCATTAGGGATGTACCATATGGATATTTTCCTCAGCCGGTATAATAGCTGATAATTACCTGCTTCTCATGGCCAATGCTGATAAGATAACCGATAATTTCACATTTTTGTATTTTAAAAAGAAGTTCTTAACCTGTAGTTTTTACACACCAGGCTCATTAAAACACTTCACAAACTATAGTTTGCTGATCTATACTGGCAGTCATGGTGTTGTTCATTGTTTCCAGGAGGGCAACAGCTTCCTCGTGTTGGACGAGCAGCGCTTTGCCAAGGAGATCCTCCCCAAGTTCTTCAAGCACAACAACATGGCCAGTTTCATCAGGCAGCTCAATATGTGTAAGACAACATTCGTTACTTTGGCGGTTCGATCCCCGGCTACTCTCGCTACATGTCTGGTTTGGTCGGATGGTCACCAGTTCAAGTCCCCACAGTATGGGGGTGAAACTGGCACCGTAGTCAGCTAATCAGTTGTCCACTATCAAATTGATCGCCATATATTTTGACAATCACTTAAGTAATTTTTTAAGAAAAAGATTTTCTGATTTTAGCTTTCCAAATGTGAATATTTTCTGATTTCTTTCATCCTCTATGACCGTTAACTGAATATCTTTGGGTTACAGACAAAACAAGACATTTGAAGAAATAGTGTACATAATAACAGCCGTTTGTGTATATTTGGATGAATTTTGAGCATAATATTTCCTTTAAGCATCACAAATTAGTTTTCCTTAAAATTTTAGGAACTTTTATACATTTCTTTGTATTATGTATCTTTTGAATTTGTTAATCATGCATACATAATATGCTCTTTTGGAGAGATTCAGTGTTTTCTTCTCATTATTCCATGAGCTCTTTGGTTGTTTAGGTTTTCTAATGCAGGCTGAGGCTGTTTACCAGAGAGTGAGGGCTCTGTGAACATAGCTTGTGTTCAAGTCCTCACTGTTCCCATATCCTGTTTATATCTTAGATAATAATCTAAACGTTAAAAATTACAATTTCATTTAGTTTTCTGAAATAAAAGAAATGCTGAGATAAAGGCCTACTGTATACATTTAAAAAATATAAAAGAAGAGAAGTGAAGTTGTGACACAACCCAGTAAACATATACTGTTACAATTATTGTCCAAGCAAGGATTACGAGTAGGTGATTGTCCTAGTACTGACCCACCTCTCCATCTAGACAAAAACAGAACCAGGAAGAGTTTCAACCAACAATTAATTTTTGCTATCAGTTGATTATTTTTTTGATTAATTCATCATTAGTATTGTCTATAATATTTCAGGAATGCTATGTTATAATTTCCATATAGCTTGTTTTATTTGTCCAAAAACCAAAATATATTCAGTTTACTTACATATAGGCCAAAGACGAACATCATCCTGACATTTTACAAGCTGATGCTAATACAGTTTTGGAATTTTTATTTGAAAGGGGCTACAACAGTTAATTGATTATAAAAATAGTTGCCTTTGTTGTGATTTATTGACTAATAGGTACAGCTCTTTAACCAGTGCTTATTCATAGATGCAGAGGCTGCTGCTAATGGTTACCAGAGTAACAGACCACAAGGCGCAGTGCAAACATTTCATCAGATGTTGGCCAGAGTTACTCTGTATTCCGCTGCAGGAGACACACTCAGTTTAGTGCTGGTTTACTGTTAATATGTGGATTAATGATTTTTTTTTTTTTTTTTCAAAGGAGGACTTGCAAATTTTATTTATTTAGTCATTTCTTTAGTTAACAATGACTGAATAGTGGAAACACTTTCCAATATCAGCTTTGCTTGGAAACATCTGAAAAAGTTTAAAATCCAATAGTCCAATAGTTTAGGCCTTAATATGTCTTAAAGATGTTTTTGACAGGTCTTAAAACTGGATTGGATAAAAATTAACATTAATTGTTTAAAGTTGCATTTTTCTGTGTCTCTTTTTAAATGTGTTTTTCTGAAATATTTGGATTGATCATGCTGTAAAAACTGAAAAATAGAACCAACATGCAACCAATACCAATTTTCCTTAATAATCTTCGTGCTTGGCTGTATAGGCATAAAATACGGCTTAGATTTGACTCATGACGGTCTGTTAAAGACCAAAAAAGTATTCAATTCAATGTGTGGAAACATACAAGAGCACTGAATATTTATGATATTTCTTGACATTGCAAATGTTCAACTGTTTCTGAATCACATGGAATCAAACATGTAATTCTACTTAGGAGTGGGCAATATGGGTAAAATCTTCTTCTATTCTCTTTACTGTTGTTGTTCATCGTTAATCAACAAAAAAAAAAAAGTTCCTAATCACACTGATGCAAAGATAATATCCAATACTGACATCAATCACTTCCCAAAATAGCTTAATACAAGCAGCAACACAAATGATGGTAACCATGGTATAAACATTCGGTCAAAATCACTGACGAGTTACTGATGTACAGTGTATTGGTATATATGATCATATTGCCCAGCTTTGATTAAATTCTATTTTATAAAATTCTTCAGTTCAATTTTATTTGTATAGCGCAAAATCAAACAGAAGTTATCTTAGGACACTTTTCAAACAGAGCAGGTCTAGACCTTACTCCTTTTATAATTTTATTTAGAGACCCAACCATGAGCAAGGACTTGGCAACAGTGGCAAGGAAAAACTTCCTTTTTAAGAGGCAGAAACATTGAGCAGACCCAGGCCCTAGGCAGGCCGCTGTCTGCCTCAACTCTAATCCCACTGCATACTTCAATACCTTTTCAATAACACATTTTTAAAATTATACAAGACTGTACATTTGTTAAAAACGTTATCATATTTTGTGTGCCATGAACTTTTATTGAAAGAGGTATCAAGTGTTTGTTGCAGTTTTTCTAATGTTTACGTGTGTGTGTGTGTGTGTGTGTGTGTGTGTGTGTGTGTGTGTGTGTGTGTGTGTGTTTGCGTGTGCGTGTGCACGTGTTCAGATGGATTTCGTAAAGTGATGCACATTGACCCAAGAATTGTCAAACAGGAAAGGGATGGTCCAGTGGAGTTTCAGCACCCCTACTTCAAACACGGACAGGATGACCTGCTGGAGAACATCAAGAGGAAGGTGGAGTCATCTCTCTGTTACTTGTCTCTCTGCTCAGTTGTCAACTCATATTTTAAAAAATTTCAATTCAATTCAATTTTAGAACAGAAGTTATCTCAGGAGACTTTTCAAATGGAGCAGGTCTAGACTGAACTCCTTATAACATTTCAAAGACCCAACAGTACCACCATGAGCAGGCAGTTGGCGACGGGGGCAAGGAAAAACTGCCTGTTAAGAGGCAGAAACCTAGGACAGACCCTTCGGCTCTAGGTGGGAGGTCATCTGTGTTGACCAGTTGGGGTAGGAGAGAGAGAGAGAGAGAGAGACAGACAGACAGACAGTTGCACAGCAACAACAGTAGCAACAACTGCACTAATAGTAGTGACTGATGATGATGAACATGAAGAAGATGTTCATCATCATCGAGATTCGGGATTCTTGAATCTTGATGATGATGAACATGAAGAAGATGATGACAACGACAACAGCAACTATGGGGGACAATGAGCAGTGACAATAGTAATAATACTAACTGTGGTAATAATAATAATAATTACAATAATATCAGTGATATTAGCAATGGCAGTCAAGCAGGACCATGGCAGGAGGCACCACCAGGATCCATGAGAACCTGCGAGAAAGTCTAGGCCTATAGCAGCATAACTAAGGGATGGTTCAGGACTCACCTGATCCAGCCCTAACTATAAGCCTTATCAAAGAGGAACGTCTTAAGCCTACTCTTAAATGTGGAGAGGGTGTCTGCCTCCCGAACCACAACTGGAAGCTGGTTCCACAGGAGAGGAGCTTGGTAACTGAAGGCTCTGGCTCCTGTTCTACTTTCAGAGACTATAGGAACCACAAGTAGCCCAGCATTCAGAGAACGCAGTGTTCTAGTGGGGTAATAGGGTACTATGAGCTCTTTAAGATATGAAGGGGCCTGACCATGAAGAGCTTTATAGGTGAGGAGGAGGATTTTAAATTCTTTTCTAAATTTTACAGGGAGCCAGTGCAGAGAAGCTAGTACAGGAGAGATGTGATCTCTTTTCCGAGTTCCTGTCAGTACTCGTGCTGCAGCGTTTTGAATTAATTGGAGCGTTTTAATGGACTTATTGGGGCAACCTGATAATAAAGAGTTGCAGTAATCCAGCCTTGAAGTAACAAATGCATGGATTAGTTTTTCTGCATCTGTCTGTGATAAATAGATAGATAACTTTATTAATCCCACAATGGGGAAATTCACTTGTCACAGCAACATTTGAGTGAAATAAATAGGCGACAGATATAAAAAACAGGAACATTTGCATACAGCAGGTCCATGGTCTTATTGTCAAACTGGTAGAAGGTTGGGAGTGTGGACGAGAGAGAAACGTGGTTGAAGTCCCCTGTGATTATGATGAAGGCCTCCGGGTGTTTCGTTTGTTGTCCTGCAGTCACAGTGTGGATGACGTCACACGCTGCTTCTGCTTTCCCAGATGGAGGAATATAAACAGTGATGATGATAACACTGGAAAGTTCCCTTGGCAGATAATATGGACGAAGTCCGATGGCGACAAGCTCGATGTCCGGGCTGCAGACACGCTCTTTCACACAGACGTGCCCGGGGTTGCACCACCCGTTGTTTATGAGCACGGCCAGTCTCCTTTCTTCTTGCTGGTCGCAGTGATGTCCCTGTCGGCTCGAACCGTCTGGTAGCCAGGAATGGTGACGTTGGAGTCCGGTATCCGGTTCCTTTAATGCCAATTTGATGCTAAAGTCTCTGTAAAAGAAAATTATGGTCAATGGTGTTAAATGCAGCATTAAGATCTAATAATACAAGTACAGAGACAAGTCCATTGTCAGAAGCAATCAAAAGGTCATTATTAACTTTAACCAGAGCTGTATCTGTGCTGTGATGAACTCTAAATCCTGACTGAAAATCCTCAAATAAACTATTGTTTTGTAGAAAGTCACACAACTGTTTGGCGACTACTTTCTCCAGAATCTTAGAGAGGAAGGGGAGGTTAGAAATCGGTCTAGGGTTGGCTAAAACCCGTGACTCAAGAGTGGGCTTTTTAAGAAGGGGTTTAATTTCAGCTACTTTAAAGGACTGTGGTACATATCCTGATAATAAAGGAAGATTAATCATATCCAGTAAAGAAGTGCTCAACATTTGATTGTAGTTTTTGCCTTTCAGGTTTCTAACACTCGGCCGGAGGACAACAAGATTCGTCAGGAAGACCTGAGCAAGATCTTGGCAAGTGTTCAGAGTGTTCACAGCAAGCAGGAGAACATTGATGCCAGGCTAGCAACACTCAAGAGGTTAGTGTAACAGTGCTTGAAACAGGGATGTCCTATTGTCCCGGAGACAATAAAAATAGCCTCTGGGCTAAATGTATAACTACCACTGAAGTTATTTAATTTATGCGTCATGGAATGGAAGTGTTTAAATTTGAAAAATGTGTGGTGGCACTGGCATGAGCTCTATGCTACTGAATCACAAATTGCTCCCCATGCTGCGGTGTATGAATGTGAGTGAATAAGTTGGTTTCTGTTTGTGATGGCCGTCACTGTATAAATGTGTGTGAATGGGCGAATGTGGCATGTAAAAGTGGTCAGACGACTAGAAAGGCACTATACAGTTTCTTAATCACCATTACCATCAATGATAGAGTGGTCTCTCCCTCTCCTCTTGTGCCATGTGCAGGCAGTTAGTAGGCACGTAAGTGTGGCGTGTACATTCGTGGCCAGACGTTTTGAGAATGACACAAATACTAATTTTCACAAAGTCTGCTGCTTCAGTTTTTATAATGGCAATTTGTATATACTCCAGAATGTTATGAGGAGTGATCAGCTCAACTGCAATTAATTGCAAATCCCTCTTTGCCTTGAAAATGAACTTTATCCCCAAAAAAACATTTCCACTGCATTTCAGCCCTGCCACAAAAGGACCAGCTAACATAATTTCAATGATTCCTCCGTTAACACAGGTGTGGGTGTTGATGAGGACAAGGCTGGAGATCAATCTGTCATGATTGAGTTAGAATAACAGACTGGACACTTTAAAAGGAGGATGGTGCTTGACATCATTGTTCCTCTTCTGTTAACCATGGTTACCTGCAAGGAAACACGTGCAGTCATCATTGCATTCCACAAAAAGGGCCTAAAAGGGGAGTTTATAGCAGCTAGTAAGATTGCACCTCAGTCAACCATCTATCGGATTATCAAGAACTTCAAGGAGAGAGGTTCAATTGTTGCCAAACAGGCTCCAGGGCGCCCAAGAAAGTCCAGCAAGCACCAGGACCGTCTCCTAAAGTTGTTTCAGCTGCGGGATTGGGCCACCACCAGTGCAGAGCTTGCTCAGGAATGGCAGCAGGCAGGTGTGAGTGCATCTGCACGCACAGTGAGGCGAAGACTTTTGGAGGAAGCCCCGGTGTCAAGAAGGGCAACAAAGAAGCCACTTCTCTCCAGAAAAAACATCAGGGACAGACTGATATTCTGCAAAAGGTACAGGGATTGGACTGCTGAGGACTGGGGTAAAGTAATTTTCTCTGATGAATCCCCTTTCCGATTGTTTGGGGCATCTGGAAAAAAGCTTGTTTGGAGATGATGAGGTGAGTGCTACCATCAGTCCTGTCTCATGCCAACAGTAAAGCATCCTGAGACCATTCATGTGTGGGGTTGTTTCTCAGTCAAGGGAGTGGGCTCTCTCACAATCTTGCCTAAAAACACAGCCATGAATAAAGAATGGTACCAGAACGTCCTCCGAGAGCAACTTCTCCCAACCATCCAAGAGCAGTTCGGTGATGAACAATGCCTTTTCCAGCATGATGGAGCACCTTACCATAAAGCAAAAGTAATAACTAAATGGCTCGGGGGAACAAAACAAGATTTTGGGTCCATGGCCAGGAAACTCCCCAGATCTTAATCCCATTGAGAACTTGTGGTCAATCCTCAAGAGCCGGGTGGACAAACAAAAACCCAAAGATTCTGACAAACTCAAAGCATTGATTATGCAAGAATGGACTGCCATCAGTCAGGATTTGGTCCAGAAGTTGATTGACAGCATGCCAGGGAGAATTGCAGAGGTCTTGAAAAAGAAGGGTCAACACTGCACATATTGACTTGTTGCATGAACTCAGTGTAATTGTCAAAAGCTTTTGATACTTATGAATGCTTGTAATTATATTTGAGTATACCATAGAAACATCTGACAAAAACACCTAAAAACCCTGAAGCAGCAGACCCTGTGAAAATGTAATATTTGTGTCATTCTCAAAACTTTTGGCCACGACTGTAGTGTATTCTCGTAGTTCATTTGATCTTCTCTCAGCCTTTATGTAGATTTTTTTTTTCTTTACTTCAAATATATGATGTCCCAATAATAGTTTGGTATTATTAATTATTTCCATTGCCGTATACTAATCAGAAACATATTTGCAGTTTGACTGCAGTTAACAATGATGTATTATTTTATCAAACTGTTATTAATCCCACAATGGGGAAATTCCCTTGTCACAGCAGCAATTACTTGAAATAAATAAATAAATAAATACAGATATAAAAAACTATGATAAAAACTAAACTATGGTATGGTGGTAATTTGAAAAACAAACTACAACATTGATCAGGTATTCTAGAGTCTGACAGCGGCAGGGATGAAAGACCTTCGGAACCTCTCCTTCTTACACCGTGGGTGTAACAGTCTGCTGCTGAAGGAGCTACTCATCGACCCCACAGTGTCATATAGGGGGTGAGAGGTGTTGTCCATGATGGATGTCAGCTTCACTAACATCCTCCTTTCACCCACTTCCTCAATGGAGTCCAGAGGACTGTTGAGGACAGAGCTCGCTCTCCTGATCAGTCTCTTCCTGTCCCTGTCTGTACTGCCCCCTCTCCAGCAGACCACAGCATAGAAGATGGCTGAAGCAACTACAGAATCATAAAAAGTCTTAAGGAGAGCCCTGCTTACTCCGAAGGACCTCAGTCTCCTCAGCAGGTGGAGGCGAATCTGGCCCTTCTTGTAGAGAGCATGGGTGTTGTCAGTCCAGTCCAATCCAGTTTTTTATTGGGGTGAAGACCCAGGAATTTATAATTATCTACCACCTTAATGTCCAATCCCTGGATGTTCACCGGGGTGAAGTGGGATGTTTTCCTCCTGAAGTTAACGATCATGTCCTTCGTCTTGCTAGTGTTTAGCTGAAGCTGGTTGAGCTCACACCAGCTGACAAAGTCCCTGATAACAGTCCTGTGTCATGTAGGGGTTGCCAGTTACTGAAACAAAGTTATTTAACTATATTCATTATGTAGAATGAATCTGTCCCCAGAGAACATACAAAAGTTTGGAAGTAAGCTAAAATTTGTACAAAAAAAATCATAGTTTCATTGGTATACTTTGCAACAAATTAAACATGATTATTATATAAAGACTCACTTTTCGGAATACATGTTACTATAATTATCCGGTATTTGGGTTTTTCTTGCTTAGACTTTGCTTTCTTCAAAGTAACCTTCTCTGGCTTGACAACAGCATGGCATATAAGAGACATTCGTTCCACAAGGGTTTTAAGGTATGTGCCAGGAATTGCATTTCCAAGCTTTCTTTCGTTCATCAGTGAGAGACTGCTGATTTGTGGGATGCACTTTTCTGACTGATCGATCCAATTCGTTCCACACAAGCTCAATTGGAGAAAGGTCTGGAGACTGAGGGGGCCAAACCATTAGGGCTGGGGTTAATCGCTAATTTATTAAACAATTTATCGGGTGATTATTTTATCAATTAGTCAACTAATCTAACAACTAATTGGACGATTAATCTAATTTTTTCTGTTAGACATAACGTTAAAAGCTACTGCAATCTGCTTGCTACCATTAGCTAGATCTAGCTGCTGTGCACTTTGGTGGTGCTAGGCTAACCAACGCATCTTCGCTCTCTGTGCAGTTTGTTCGTGCTAGGTTAGTAGCTAAAGTTCACGTTAGCTAACGTTAGCTACTATAGATAGCTGTGTTCTGCAGCCGTAAACTAGCTACCATTCAGGCCAACATTTTTCTAGATGATAACTAATGTTAGCTAAACACAGCTGTCTAGGTGCCAGTAGCTAGCTAACGTTAACGTTAGCTACTAACCTAGCACGAACAAACTGCACGGAGAGCTAAGATAGTTAGCTAGCACCACGGAAGTGCACAGAGCTCAAGCTACACAACCCACTATACAAACATGAAATTAATTTAGCCAACGTTAGTACTTAATTGTTATAGTCTCCTTCACGAGTGACAATGGGGTGCCTCCGTTTCAGATGCTCCCACATTGCTGTTGTGCTGGTGTGGTATGCCAACTCCATTTGGCAAAGAGCGCAAATAACGACACCTTTACGTTTGGGACTAAATTTGAAGTAATCCCATACCTTTGATGATTTAGGGCGAGCTGTTTTTTTAGGACTTTTTCTTTTATTGGGGCTTTTTGCAGGGCTTTGTTGGAAATTCTGTGAGAAGGTTGCTGTTTCGTCCTCCATTCTACAATGTTTTGGTCTCCCACGTGTGTGTGGCGAGCTGTGGCGAAGCGTTGACGCAAAAATATGACGTTGACGTAGACGCGTCGCTATAGGCCTACAAACCATCTTTCAAAGAACCTTCCTCTTCTTTTTTGTCTATGTAACCCTGACAGAGCTTGGAAGAGTGCTTAGGGTCACTATCTTGCTGCAAAATAAACTTTTGACCCACAAGTCTTAGTCCAGATGGAACTGCATGATAATGTTATAAAGAGTTCGGTCTAGACCTGCTCTATTTGAAAAGTGTCCTGAGATAACTTCTGTTATGAATTGGGGCTATACAAATAAAATTGAATTGCATTGAATGATGCTGGAGAATGGAGTGGTACTGTTCCTTCTTCATGATTTCCTTTACTTTAAACAAATCTCCTACTCTATCACCTGCAAAACATCCCCATACCATGGCACTACCACCTCCATGCTTTATTGTGGGTGTTACACATGGTGCTTTAAGACGGTGTATACCTAAAGGTAAATTGAGAAAAATGGTGCATATCAATGGAAGCAAAGTCTGTTCATGCAGTAAATACATCCCAAAATCCAAAGAATTCATACTGGTTTTTAAGAAAGGCATTTTGAACAGAAACTTGAAGTTGCTTCCAAATGTACACCCCCGGAGTTTGAATGTTGTTTTTGGTTGCGTTTTTCTGTCCATTTGGCTGTGTACAATGCGAAAGAAAATCCCGTGCAATCATCAAACGTATAGCTGTAAGACAACCACGTGTAAACGCAGCTAGCCTTGATAAGAAAACATTACGCCTATCCTAATAATTTCAGATACTTTGAGCGAACAGTTTACAGGTTATTAAAGTATTTATAGAATTTAGATAATTTAAAATAATTATCTTACCTCGATGCGACAGGATATCCAAATGCCAGATGAACGTCTTCACCCAAAAATGTTTTCTTTTTACCCGGATAAAGAATGTTGTAGAATGTTTGTTGAACGATGAAAGATGACAACCACCAGATGCCGCTGTTCGGACGCATCACACGATTCGGAGGCATATCACATATTTAAAGATTATAAAAACTGATTATTTTACTGATTCATGGCACGTTTTTCATTATTTTTTTAATGAGTTCTGCGGAGAATGTAATGTGAGTCACCTTCACCCCATTTCAACATAGTCTACACATGCATACAGCTATGCCAAGGTACTTCACACTATTATTGTCTTCTATAACAGGCCATGAACTGCTCAAATTGCATCTGAATGAAGGCCAGTCAGTGTTCCATTCCACTGATACTGATTACTGATACTGATAAATGCAGATTTATAAGAACATTATAATTAAACTTTGCACATTCCATTATCCCCTGTCCAAAAACTATGCATTATGTTTCCAACATCTATGACTAGTGTGTAGACTTTGTGGTAATAATGATACAGTAGGCCATTATGATTGATATGATTTTTATTGATCCTTCTCATACACAACAAGTTATCCTCCTTTACACACGGACAATCTGTCCTATATCTTGTCTCATTGAAAAGGCACTGCACCAGTATCAGACATGAAATAACGACATAGTTCATCCCTGATCTGTTTGGCCCTTGCTGCTGCATTGGTGGTTTGTGGCAGGGGGGCTTGTTGTAGGGCAGGGTCTTGCCTCCATCTTCCTTCAATAATCTCTGGTCCTTCCTGGTCCACAATGTCTGCCATGTATGCGTCGCTGCCCTCACTCCGTAGAAAGTTATGCAGAGCACAACAAGCCAGGACAATGTACTCCACTGTGACAGTGTCTCGGATGTCGATGGTGGTTAGCAAGACACGGAAGCGGTTGGCCATGATCCCAAAAGCATTTTCCACAACCCTCTGAGCTCGCGACAGCCTGTAGTTGAAGATGCGCTGTTCTACAGTGAGTCTGCGGTTTGGCTTCAACAGGTAGTCTGTCAACGGAAACACCTCATCTGCCACAACGCAGTATGGAGACAGCTGGTCAGAACTGGGAAGTGGTGCAGGGGCAGGGATGTTGGTGGTTCTGTTTTCTGCTAACGTGCATCCACGAAACACTCACACCATCAGAAATTCTTCCATTACAACCGACATTCACATACAGAAACCTGTACGAGCTGTCGACCAGTGCTATCAAGACAATGGAAAAGTTGTGTTTGTAGTTGTAGTATGTTGATCCAGTCCCTGGTGGGGGGCGACTGTTTATGTGTTTCCCATCCAGAGCACCCAGGCAATTTGGGAAGTTCCACTGAGACATGAATCCACTGGATACCTGCTGCCACTCATGCGCTGTGTCTGGGCACTGAAAACAAGAAAAATAACAAAAGTGAATTCCAAATGCTGATCTGTTTATCTGGTTAGAAAAACAGTAGCGTCAGAAAAAACAACATGCATGTTTGCAACAAAAGTAGGATACCAGCAGCATGCAGATCGTATTGTACAGCTCAATGACTGATGTTGACACAAGATCACACATACCTTCAGATATTTCTCTCTTAAGACCTGGTAGATGGCGTTACAGGTTTCAGGAATGATTTGCCGAATTGTGGAGACACCCAGTCGAAACAGAAACCCAAGACTCTTGAAGCTTTCCCCCGGCGATTATAAACGAAAACATGACTTTGTTAATTATACATAAGAGCTCTACATGTTCCAAAAAAGGAACCAAAAAACTGAAAGAATAAAGAGCTTAGCCTACCTGTTGCGAGGAAGCGCAGTGTGACCATCAGACGTTCACCGACAGATACACAATCACGCTAATTGGTGTTGCACCGCTGGATATTCGGTCTGACAAGGTCCTCCAACATGTGGAACTGGGCAGGAAAGAGCCAAGCAACATTTTTGAAATCATCTGGTTCGTCCATCTCCCGACACAAATTCGGGAAAGCTCCCTGAGCCTCTCGCTGTGAGATCCAGGACTTCACCCACTTAGTGCGGTTTCTCCTTATTTTCCACAAGAAGAAGCCCGAGAGCTAACAACGCCAGTATCTTGTTATTATTAGCCATCGTATTTTCTATTCAGCAAGCAATGACTATAACAATCCTTCTTGACTACTATCAACACTCTCTGATGAAAACAATGACTGACGACAGCGTGCTCTGTGTTTACTAGGTCTAGAGTGATCCGTAATTTACGGTTTTAATTTTTTTTGGGCGACAACACAGATTAGCGCCGCCTGCTGTTATAGGGACGTATTACGCCTCGCGCACACGCAGAACATACGCTCCAGTCGGCGTCGGTTTGGTGTGTTCGGAGGCACTTTTTTGACCGTCTCGGGGAGACGGGAGCCGACTGATCAGTTTGACTGCTTTTCTGCCGACGGTCGGCCGTTGGGTTGGTGTGTCCTGGCCTTAATGGCATTTGCAAAAATTCACCGGCCTGAATGAAAAGAGCCAACAATCGGCTATATTCAAGCCCAAAGTGCCTTTCCATCTTTCTTGGCTCTGACTGGTTGTTTTTGCTCAGGCTGGTGGATTCTTGCAAAGGCCATTAGAAGCACTAGGAGGATTTATAGATTATCTGTCTCATTTACATGTTTAAGCAAATATAACAAAACGTCATTTTTATAAAAATGATCTACTGCAGCTTTAAATGCAATTAAAGCCTTTAACTGTATTCAATATGTAAATGCTCCTACTCATAACTGAGGCCATACCGGTTGACCTGCTCGTCACACTGGCCATATTATTAGATGCCTTACTCAACCTGTCCTACAGACCCATCTCATCTCAAAGTTGCCCTTTATTTTTAAAATCTTGTAAAAGTTATATGCAAACAATTTGTTTGACAAAGTGTGGGAGGCACCGCAGAGACGGCTGTTTTGTATTCATTCCATTCATTGTGCTACTGTGAGCTGTGGAGTTCCTCAAGGGTCAATTCTGGGACATGTTTTATTCTCCTTGTACATGCTTCCCTTTAGGGCACATAATCCATCAGTCTGGCTATGTCTCTTTATCATTTGTATGCTGTACCTATTTGTGAAACCTGGTGAAGTTTCAAATATGCCAATTTTACAAAATTGACTGCAACAACAAAACTGAAGTTCTAGTATTTGCACCAAATCAGACCTTTGAAATGTGATGCTTAAGGCATTGGCTTTCAAGTAAATCATGGCATCCAGAAACCAAGAAGTCCTTTTTGATTCCCAGTTGAATTTTTTTTTAAACATCTCGTGAGAAACAACGTCCCACGTTCCCCACACACTAAATGTTGTAATTCAGAATAAAGCTGCAGAAACTCATAGGAGACTGAGTTGGTTCAGCAGTCCATTCTCTCAGCTTTAAATGTCACTTGTTTTGTTGTTTCAGGGAGAATGAAGCACTGTGGAGGGAGATCTCAGATCTGAGACAGAAACATGCCCACCAACAACAGCTCATCAAGAAGGTAAGCACTACACTGGACCCATTAGTTTACACCATCTGGAAGTGTATTCACATACATGTCTTCTGTAAAGACCTCCAGACGAGTAAGCTGCATTTCTGCTTTTTTTTTCTGAAAGCGATTTCATTGCAGTTCATAGTGATTGGTAAAATATTGTATAGTCCATTCAACAGAAGGAATGAATTTACAAAGTCTCAGTCTTTATATTCAGTTACTTTTTATATTTGTGTATTATATTTATACTATGTAAATGCTTGCAGTCTTAATTCATTAATAGCATTTTCAACCACTTTTTTTAATTGGCATATCCTTCCCAGGAGAGCCATCTTTGAATATGTGATATTATTTTTAGGGGGACACACAAAGAAGAGCTTTTCATTCAGTATCTCCACCACTAGTATGTTTTGAATCAGATGTTTCAGTATAAGCTGGAGATAACCAACATGCTGTTGAATCTGAGAGACTATTCTTTTTTCAGCTGATACATTTTATCGTCACATTGGTACAGAACAACCGCATCCTGAATTTAAAACGCAAAAGGTGAGTTCACACTGTATTGTGCACCTGTGAGAGCCATGGATGAAGTGGTCAAATAATAATTAGTAGGTATCCTATCAAATTAGTTGCCTCATGAAATTCAAAGAGCTACAAAATGTAACTACACAACGTACACAAAATTTTTAGCCCATATGATCACAAGGGCCCTGTTAAGACCTATTATTAACATGCGTGTTGGGTGATCCAATCACTCGCATCACTATCACTAGTATTTCAGTTCACCTGGCTTTAGAATGTCTCCACATGTGTCTTGGGTGACCACTTGTGATCTCACTTCCCTGCTATGTATGCAAATTGACACTCTAGAGCTGTACCCTACTCAGAATTTTGTCTGTCAGTGTAATGGTAAATGGATGGTAAATGGACTTGTACTTGTATAGCGCCTTTCTAGTCTTCCATTAGTCTCATCTATTTTAGGGATCACAATATGGAATTTTTTTCATGCAATAACCTATAATTACCTGCTTCTCATGGGTGATACCAATAAGATCATTTCACATTTTTGTATTTTAAAAAGAAGTTCATATCCTGACGTTTATACACACCTAAGGGTAAGAAAAGATGATTTAATAATTAATAGCTCTGTTATAACCAAATATAACTGACATCTATTGTTGAGAAAACAACAACAGTTTTGACTCTTCAAATGGTATATCTTTTTTATAGAATATATAATATCACCTGTTAATGTACAAAATCAAGTTGCAATCTGATGTTATATACAGGAGCTGATTCACTACCTCAGGAAAAAACTGACTTCTACATAAATCAGCAATAACATTATGACCACTGGGTGGGATATATTTGGCAGTCAGTGAACATTTTGTCCTTGAAGTTGATGTGTTAAAGCAGGAGAAATGGGCAGCGCAGAGATTTAAGTGACTTTGACAAGGTCCTAATTGTGATAGATAGTACAACTGGGTCAGAGCAGAGTGTGCCACTGTAGCTCATATAGCTAAAAACGTTAATGCTGGTTCTGATAGCTAAGATGTCAGAACACACAGTGTATCACAGTTTGTTGCATATTGGGCTGCATAACATTATGACCACCAGGGTGCCTAGGCGGTCACAATGTTATGGCTAATCGGTATATTATTTAAATTGTCATTGTCATATTTTTAAATAAAATCAATCAGTAAATCAACTTACTGTTTCAGCACTGATAGTGTAAACTCTAGTCTGTATGAACTTTAAATGTTGATGTGTCACTGTCTTGACAGGCCAGTTCTTATGAACAGCAATGGAAAGAAGCCCAAATACATTCATCAGATCTATGATGAGAAGGTGTGTGTGGAACAGGTCAGTAACACTCGTCGGTATATTGTTGTGATGATCAGTTACTTTTTAAGCCTAAAAGGTTAGTTTTTACTTTTAAATAGATTATATGAGATTAGTTCTAACCATGTTTTGACCATGTGTATCCTATTTAGTCTACTGTCAACAGTCTGAATGGTGTGAAGGGCTCTGAGGTATCAGATGATGTTATCATCTGTGATCTGACTGAGAATGACACAGAAGTGGCACCTGAGATCACACAGGAGTCACAGGGGTAGGTTGACTCTGACACTGTTCTACTGCTTTCAAACTCATTTTATACACAAGGCTAAACTGGTAACAGCTGTAGGGCCAGTGTTTGGTTAATCTGTTCTGGCCTACTGTAGAAACACGGCAGACTCCATGGAAGGTGACCTGCAGTGTTTGTAGATATAAAAGGCTCTTTCTATGCTAAAGAGAACATAATGATTTCTATATTCAGGTAATTATCTTTTTGGATTGTATTGATAGGTGTGTTTTCATTAGGGTATTCTGTACAAAATTAACATGTCTCCTCAACTCGCTCAGTCGCGCTCTTTCAGTGGGAGAAGACCGTAGGAATGAGAGATGTTTTAATAATTAAGATTCCTCATTAAATTAAGTGCTGTTTGGTGGATCAGATACACGCCCAATTGAACACTGACACTGTTAATTCACTCTCTATTGTGTGTGTGATGGTAATTTATTTGGCTGTTATCAAAGTAACTAATAGGTTTGCTGCTCCTGGTCTGGTGCTGGAGAGAACCTGGGTCTGCTTTCCCTGGCTGCAGCCAACACAACCAGATATTTAGCCTACTAGATATTTTTTAGGCACCTGTGAGAGATTGTTTAGCTCTCGGCGAGCCCTCTGAGATTGGCCTTTGATCTGGGGGCATTTGTCTGCAATCTCCAAAAAAGAGGGCGTTGCCTCCAATCCCTGTTTGATATTAAGCATCTGCTGATACTGAGTCCTGATCCAATACTTCCTGGATAATCAAGGTGAATAGCTCTGCATTACATTTAGAAAACAGTTGCCAGAATCCAAGCTGTTCCCTATTGCTTTTTGTATACTTAACTAAATAAAAAACCATCTTTGTAATCTTTTGTGGTCTTGTTTGCTGTCTCCAGGAAATTTCTCTCTCCTTTTAAAAGTGTCCTGCAGTGTTGCAGCCTTTGCCTGAGTTTGCAGAATAGAGTTCATTCAGTTGAGTTTTTATTCTCTTGTCTGTACATCCAAGTCATTTATTGAATCCATACATCAAACTGACATTTTGGCCACCAATAGAGTATGAGTTCTTGGAAAAAGAAGTAGAAGGACTTCTGTTGGGAAGGTTTGGATTGGCGTCTAAAATGCAAGAGCAGTGTGACGGAATCTGCTTTACAACAAAACTTTGAATAAGCTGACATTAGCAAGTGCTAGTATAGTACATTATCTTTCTTACTAACATGCTGTTTGAAAATGTCCCCCAGTGATGTAGAAATTGTGGAAGTAGAGCTGGACAGCTGCACAGTGCTCCCAGCTGAGACGGAGGTCAGCACCACCTGCACAACTGACGTCAAGCAGACAGAGGTCGGTGTGTCAGCAGCAGCAGATGACAGCCAGAGGAGCAGAACTTTAGACAGCAGTGGACCAACCAGCAGCGCCCTACAGCTCAATAAGCCCTCAGGCCTGAGTTTGGAGGACCCTGTCAAGATGATGGACTCCATACTAAATGAAAACGGAGCAATATCACAGAACATCAACCTACTAGGCAAGTAAGTGCCAAACTTAATTATAATTCATTTTACTTAAAATAAGGTTTAGGGTTAGGCTACTTTTCAGAGGCTGGTTTTATAAAGGCTTACAGTATCAACATGATCTTTAGCTATATTTTCCAACTCTCTCATTTTACTGAATTGAGTTGAAAATTAGCATGAACTGCACTGTGGGCCTGAAGAAGTTTCAGGCTTTTCTTCGTGTTCCGATGTTTCCTAGAAAAGCTGGAAATGAATGTAAATTTCCAGTTATGGCAATGTGGAAATTGATTAAAATGTTGTCCTGTAAATTTTTTTATTTTATCCCCTTACTCAGATTGCCTACTTAAACCTAAGTGCGTATTTAGTTTGAAACCTGACTTTGTTGGTGGGATAAACTGTGTGACACGTCACAACAAGTTTACCAGATGTAAAGTGGATCTCATTTGCAGTGATCTTTTCGGCAACATTTTTTCCAGAGCTGAAAACAAATCATCAGGAATATCAGTACATGGCTTGACTTGCCAGCGTACAGTTCTATATTGATTTCCTGATGTGCTTTAAAGAAGGGGACAAAGGGGAGCCTGCATCTTTCCAGTCATTCTAAAATCATAATCTTGTCAGCTTCGTTGAAGGTACGGATTGCCCGTTGTGTCCGCGCAAAAAAAGTTAAACCGGGAGTCCTATGTGCAATGCAAGAAATTTGTTTCTTAACACATTGTAAAGGAAAGTATATGTTCATTTTATTCAGATTATTGTGATAATATAATGTTTCATAATTATTTTGGCCAAGATAATTGTGACAAATTATTTATATTGTCCCATGCCTAGCTAATGTGTCTGTTCAGACACATTACAAACACATTTTGGAACACAAAATAGCAAACTAAAGAACTACTCCCTCGAGTAGGACTGTTTATTGACAACAATACTGTGATATAAGATAGAGATAAGATATGTACTTTAATAATCCCCTATTGGGAACATTTTTTCACTCTTCTTTATTTAATTTTTTGATACACACACACAGGCTGAAATACACACTTCATGCAATTGTGGACGTACAACAGGGAGAGAGATGGGCTTGCCACGTTTGCAGTAGGGATGGGCATCGATTTTTGAATATTCGAATAGTCATTAAATCATAAAAAATCGAATAGTTCATCGTATCTGGAAAAAATATATGTTGTATTACTGGCGCCTTCCGCACGGGGGCAGCGTAGCATTTGATGATACACAGTGTGGCAGGCTAGATGCCAAGCTGTAGAAGGAAACAAACAGAGAAGAAGATATGATGGAGAGATTACTGAAGCAACCGTCAAAAAGTTCCATGTGGAGCTATTATTAAAAAACAAGTGACACAGAGGTACAATGTAAACTCTGCGAGGAAAAGCTTTCGTATAGCTTTTATAGCTTTTCGTACTGGTGGAAAACTAACGAAAACAAATATGCCCAACTGGCAAAATTAGCGAGTGCATCCTTGTGTGTTGCTCGCCACATCTGTGCCGTCAGAGAGGGTGTTTTCCACGGCAGGACTTATTGTAAATAGACTTCGCTCCCGTCTTCATCCCGAGCATGTGGACATGCTCATCTTTCTAAATAAAAACATGTAGTAGGCTGCAGTCGTAAACTATTGCTCGGATTATGAAGACGGGCAGGCATGTTAAAAATTTTCACGTCAGCGATGCTGTCTCTCAGGTATGTTCAGTTGTTCAGTAAAATATTATTATTGCTTGAAGTCACCGCACTATGTGTTCAGTATAACAGTTCTATAATGTTGTGCTGTGAATTGCATCACTGTCAAAATAAAAAGACAGAGTTCTCAAAAATCGCAGCGGATCTCTTTCTGAGCAAAGGGGGGATATTATAAGATTAATATTCGAATATTAATCGATTAGTACCCCACGATTATCGAATAGTACTTTTGCCTGAAATGCACATCCCTAGTTAGCCTTGCTCAAGTGCACCTCGGCGGTGAAACTGGCACCTCTCCGGCTACCAGTCCACACTCCATATTGTGGTGTGTGGGATTCGAACCGGTTCTCGTTCCTTGTCTCGCGTTAGCCAGAGTTAGGGGAAACATCTTAGATTTGTGCTACGCTAACCTTAGCGACGCATTTAGTCCAGCTCACTGTGGCTGCTCCTTGTTCTATTTTTCCGACATACTACAAACTGATCCGCTGACAAAAAATTCAGAAAACGTTATCTTGTTGTTGACTCTTCGCACTTCCTTTGACTAGCAGACTTCAAAATAAAAGTCACCTTGTGTTTTGCCAGTTGCATGCTTTTAAGGTGAAGCTGCAGCAGTAGGAAATGTTCAGTTTTCATTAGCAGTAACATAGTACAGCATAGTATCCAGGCTGCAGAGCTGCAGTGTGTGCGTGCAGCAACAGGACAGCTCCCCAAAAATGAAGGTTTAATGTGATATGGATCAGTTTTCTGTGAGCCCAGCACACATTGTAAATGTCTGTATCATACATTTTATCGTGGGAAACCAAAATTGTGATCACGATTAATCTTAAATTATTTGTGCACTTCCCTGCACCGTTATTGTGGAGCATTGGAAACAACCAATACAACCAATGTAACTCTATATAGACGTAATTCTATAGTAATGTCCTCTGGTATATCAGTCTGGCCTTCCATGGGGTGATGCTAAAATACTGTATTATAAGTGTTTATAATAACCAGAAGATTTGTTTATGTTGATGGCGCTTGCTGTGTTTTTGTGTGTGTCTGTGTCTGTCTTGTCAGGGGGGAGTTGATGGACTATCTGGACAGTATTGACTGCAGTCTCGAGGACTTCCAGGCCATGCTTTATGGAAAACAGTTCGGTATTGATTTTGATACCCTAGAGGTAAAATACTCAAACACAAATAATACAATGAACCAAAAAACATTCACCTGATCAATACCTCCTCCTGTCTAATCAGTTTTATTTCAGCACTGTGCATAAGCAGAAAAACATACTGCTGACAATGTGACAGTTTCACATAGTTAGGGGTTGGGCAATATAAACAGAAACCTAAGAGTCATACTGTGTATAGGTATATACTGTAATCATAGTAAAAAGGTGATTTTATAGTAAAAAGACAATAATTTGGGAAAATACCCACTTGACTGACATGGAGCCTCGTGTTTTAGGAGAGTGTATCCTCCAAAGAGAACTCTGCACATCTAAATAAAGGTAAGACAGGAAAACAACACAGGTGAGTGAAGGATACTTGCAGTACTGCCTCAAATTAGAGTATTACCATTACTACTGTACATTTTACTGTACAGAGGTAATGTTTGCCACCTGCAGTGATATGCTTTGTTAATTTTTGTATTGATGATGCGAGCACAACACACACTTTTACTTTCTCTAGCATTAATGTCTTTCATCGTAATCTATTATATGTTAAAACATATTTCCACAGTCTGAGAAAGTAAACGTGGGTGTTCTGCTGATATACACCAATTAGACATAACATTATGAGCACAGACAGGTGAACACTGATTATCTCATTATCATGGCACCTGTCAGTGGTTGGGATATATCAGGCAGCAAGTGAACATTTTGTCCTCAAGTTGATGTGTTGGAAGCAGGAAATATGGGCAGTGTGAGGATTTGAGCAACTTTGACAAGGGCCAAATCGTGATGACTTCTGTCGGAGTGTAAATAAACCCACTCATTGTTTTAATCACAGTCTTGATCTCGTTCTATCATATGGCATTGATATTGAACATTTAATAGTCTTCCCACAAAATCCTTTCCTATCTGACCATTATTTAATAACTTTTGAATTCATACTATTAGATTATAAGCCATTAGGCAAAACTTCCTACAGCAGATGTCTGACAGTGCTGTAGCTAAATTTAAGGAGGAGATTCCTTCAGTGTTTATTTCAATGCCATGTCTAAATATAACCTTTAATAACTTTAGTCCTTCCGAAATTGATCATTTTGTTAATACTGCAGCAGGCTCACTACGATCAACATTAGATTCTATTGCCCCTATAAAGAGGAAAATATTAAAACATAGGAGGCTAGCACCGTGGTACAACCACCAAACCCGCCAATTAAAGCAAAAAGCGCGGAAATCTGAAAGGAAATGGCGCTCTTCCAAATTATTAGAATATCGCTCAATTTGGCAAGATAATCTTAAAACCTATAGAAAGGCCCTTCGTAATGCCAGAGGAGCCTATTATTCAGCACCAATAGAAGAAAATAAGAACAACCCCAGGTTCCTCTTCAGCACTGTAGCCAGGCTGACAGAGTCACAGCTCTATTTAGCCACATATCCCCATAACCTTATGTAGCAACGACTTTATGAGCTTCTTTTATGATAAAATGATTACTATTAAAGACAAATTAATCACCAAAGGCCCTCAACAGGTATCACTGACTCTCCCAGTTCAGGAACTTTAACCAATGTAAAATCAGATATATATTTAGACTGTTTTTCTGCTATCGATCTTCATCAGTTAACTTGAATAATTTCTACATCGAAGCCTGTCTGTTAGACCCCATCCCAACTAGGCTGCTTAAATAAGTCGCACCCTTAATTGGCACTTCTTGACTAGATGTGATTCATCTTTCTTTATTATCAGGATATGTACCACAGTCCTTTAAAGTAGCTGTAATTAAACCCCTTCTTAAAAAGCCCACTCTTGACCCAGGGGTTTTAGCCAACTATAGACCAATCTCTAACCTCCCCTTCCTCTCTAAGATTCTGGAGAAAGTAGTCGCCAAACAGTTGTGTGACTTTCTACATAACAATAGTTTATTTGAGGATTTTCAGTCAGGATTTAGAGTTCATCACAGCACAGAGACAGCTCTGGTTAAAGTTAATAATGACCTTTTGATTGCTTCCGACAATGGACATTGTCTCTGTACTTTATTATTAGATCTTAGTGCTGCATTTGACACCATTGGTCATAATATTCTATTAGAGAGACTTGAGCATCAAATTGGCATTAAAGGAACCGCACTAAGCTGGTTTAAGTCATACTAATCAGATCATTCTCAGTTTGTGCATGTTAATGATGAATCCTCCATACATACATACTAAAGTTAGTCATGGAGTTCCACAAGAACATCTTCTTCATGTTCATCATCAGTCACTACTATTAGTGTAGTTGTTGCTACTGTTGTTGCTGTGCACCTTTGTCTCTGGCCTTCTGATTCTCTCTGTCTCTGTCTGTCAGTCTGAGAAAAGATTATTGAGGTTATTTTCTGTGTTGGATTGGACATTATACAGCTAGTTTTTGATTTGTTTAGTTTTTTCTGGATTCCCCTGTGTCGTGTTCAGATAAGCAGTTGATCCAGTACACAACATGTCCCTTGCTGGCCTTCCTCGATGGCTGCACCCCTACTCCAGAGGTGGATTTGGTCACCGACAGCAGCCCCAGCTCCTCCAACACCCACCTCCAGCCTACTTCCAGCTCTGGTGCCTCTTTGGAGGCTGAGCCAGCCTCAGAGCTGCTGGACACCGACCTGGAATCAAAGCAGGCAGCTCGCAGCTCCCTGATTCGCCTGGAACCTCTGACAGAGGCGGAGGCCAGCGAAGAGACACTATTCTACCTGTGTGAACTGAGTCCCGCTGGACCGGAGGCCGACTCCACCCAGCTGGATGGAATATGAGCAGGAATAGAACTGGTGTGACAGTGATGCCACTCACACTGGTGTTGGTTCACCACAGACTACGTCCCTCCATCCTCCAGACTGTACTGACCTTGTGTGTTAATATTCCCTCACCTCTCTGGCCTGATGTGTTTGTTTGTTGAGAAGAAAGTTCCAGGCTGGTGTTTTACCACGTACACATTTTTATATGTAAGACTACATTGAAGATAATATTGGAGTTACAGAAATAAGCCACATCCTTGTCAAATGTAGTAATAATGATAGTTTAGAATTCACACACATCCTACACATACTATACACACCGTATGTCTGTATCTTTCCATTATTGGTAAACATCGATAAAGCTCTCAGAAATCCTAAATAGAGGCTGATCATGTCTTCAAATCTTTCTCTTCTACGTCAACAGTAATCCAGCAGACAGTTGTCTGTACATCCCATGGTTACATCTGGACTTTCTGGCAGCATTTTAGTTCCTGTTTACATAACCCAAAGCATGATGGGAACTGTAGTACCAAAACATTATTATCCCATATAGAAATAAAAGAAAAACAAGCAGTGTAAAAAACTATAACAATAGTTGTTTTTTTTTGTTCTATGTATTCTCTTTTTTGGCATTACTAAGGCTCAAAATGTCCCATGAACATATCCCTGGACCACACTCCCCAAGCCAGTCATATATACGCATACATTGAGGTGTGTGTAGAAAACAGACTTTACTGCCATGTGTCTAAAATCAAGAGCTGTCTCTTTTTGACAAAAAGCTTTCTATGACTTGAATCTTTTCTTTTAATGTAATTGTCTGAAATGTAAAAAAATATGTGATGCACAAACTGTGGCTTGTGAAAGCACAGGACACCTTGGGCCAGAGGCATACGACTAAAACTATGTACACACAAAAACAGAAACATGCATACGCATTCTTTTCATAAGAGAACTTTTTCACCACCTTCCCAAAACCTTTATTACAGCTAAACAATAGACTAAAATATGTTTGTTTAGGCGAGAAACAGGCAATGCACTGGACAGACTCACTGAGAATGACTTGTCAAAGGTAGCAACACCCTACAGCATAGCCCCTATTATCTTGAATGGCAGTTATCGGCAAGTCGCCAATCGCCAAGAACAGTTTGGTGACGAACAATGCCTTTTTCAGCATGATGGAGCACTTTGCCATAAGGCAAAAGCGATAACTAAGTGGCTCGGGGAACAAAAATCTAAGTTTTGGGGCCGTGGCCAGGAAACTCTCCACACTTTAATACCATTGAGAATTTGTTGTCACTCCTCAAGAGGTGGGTGGACTAACAAAAACCCACAAATGACAACTGATAAACTCCAAGCATTGATTATCCAAGAATGGGATTCTATCAGTCAGGATGTGGCCCAGAGTTAGTTGACAGCATGCCAGCTCGAATTGCAGAGGTCTTGAAAAAGAAGGGTCAACACTGCAAATATTGACTCTTTGCATAAACTTAATGTGTTTGTCAATAAAAGCCTTTGCCACTTATGAAATGCTTGTAATTATACTTTAGTATACCATGGTAACATCTGACAAAAAGATCTAAAAAAACACTGAAGCAGCAAACTTTGTGGAAACCAATACTTTAATTTTCAAAACTTTTGACCACGACTGTACATAAACGTGTAAATGTAACACACCATGTTGGTTGTACAGCAGTTATTAAGCAGTGTCAGTATCTGGACATGCATTGATGTTGTGGTCTCTTTTATACATTCTCAGTTTCAGTCACCTTTATCAACATACTTAAACAGTAAGATGACCGGTTGTCCCAGTTGTCAAGAATGAAAAAGAAGTAGCTTAAGATATCAACACACTCTCCCTGATTATATTGCAAATCTCCTCCAAGCTGTCTGTTCAATACAAGTCAATAACTGTTCACTGTCTAGAAACAACAGAATCAAGAAGTTAAATGTTCTGTGTGAGCTGATCTCAGTCAGTTCCCTGATGTAGAGCTTGTGGTGTTGTGCAGCCTCAGTGTGTTCATGATTGATAAAAGGAAACTCCTCTCCTGTCCTAGGTATAGAAGTCCCTGCACGCTTTCTCCTTTTCTTGTGTTAGTAAATGCTACAGTATCCATTTGAAGTTTAATTTCTTCTTACAACACTCAGGAGACTGGAGCTATTTCTGTATATTTCCCATGTGCAGAGCCAAACCAACTGATCCTAACAAGGACTGTGTGTGTGTATTCAAAGCCTAATAAACACTCAGAGTCCAGTTTGTTAGGTACACCTGGCAAAAACCAGTCTAATCAGGATTTCTTAAAAAATTGTTGTGTTGTAGTTTGTTTTTCCTTTTGTCAGCTGTCAATAACTTAGAACAACCACTCTTCTGCTCAGAGGAACTAAACACTGGGACTGAAAAGCACACAACTCCTAATAAAGAGAATAAAATAGGTCATGCAAAATAAAATTTCTTTGGACAGATACTTTCTAGAAGAAGAAATATTGATGCTGTAGTTCCAACTGAACACCTGTAGAGGTCGATAAAGATTAGATTACTTAATGCTCGATATCTTCTTTAACCCAACTGACTCAGTACTCATGTCGTTCAAACTAATTCAAACCCAGATAACTTAATTTTAGACTTTAAGGATATTCCAAAGTTTACAAATATATTACATTTTTTTTATGAAATGTTGCCCAAGACGTAACATTGTATAGAAGGCCCTTCTTTCTTTCAGAGATACTGAACTGAGACGCTGCATAAAGGGCCAGTATAATTAAGGTCCCTTTTAAGACCAATATGACCTTCCTCAGTTTAATCAAATTGCAGTAAATTTCCTTCAATGCAAAGAATAATAGTTAGCCTTCATAATGATGCACAAGAAGCTCAGATACAATTAAAGTCTTAATAGATCACACTGGGACTCAGCTTCAGTATTTGATAAGAGTTATTTAGCATACATTAAATTTATTATAAATATTTTTTTGCACTGGAAATTAGTCTGTTAAAGATGATAATACTGCTCAGCACTTCAACAAAATAATGACAAAGGCAATAAAACAAGGGAATGGGGAGGTGGGGGGCAGACACAGAGCCAAGGAGACTATTTGCGCTAATAAGTCCGTTGGCATCACTGGGGAATATGGCCTCCGGTAATTACAACTCAACAGGAATCATCTGGAACATTCCAGATCAATGCATACCTTGTTGGGTCACAAGAAGCTTTAGTTAAAGGTGCACCATAACACAGTGTGTTTTAACCAAATGTTTTATTGGTTTACCTTTTTTTATCATTTGCATTCATTATGGAGGGTACATTGCATATCAAAATCAATTAATTGAAATATTGTGATGACCTCTATATATCTATTCACTATGGTAATCCTACATGCATTATATATGTACTTGAATTTACATTCACATACAATTAAATATTATAATAAATAGTGCAAGTGTCAGAAAAGAAAAGAGGAAATAACACATACAGGAGAACCCAAGATAAACACATTGATGTGTTATGTCAAGTCAAAAACTTTCAAATGAAATTCAAACATCCATTTGAACCTCCTATGATCCTAATAATATATATATGGGTTTTTTAAATATAACTTAAACCACTCTTTACCCCCTTCCTCCCATCCCATCTGTCCTTTTGACCTTTTCTTCCCTTAATTATCAGTACAGGACATACAGAAAAATAAATAAATAACTATATCTAGATATTCTTGCATATATACAAATAAACCTGTATATATACATGCATATTTGTAATTGTAAGTTCACTTTGTCCATTACTAAAGCAAGAGCCTCTGTTTTCTCATCCTTCATACCTCGTATTCAACCTATTGATAATTCTAAAGAAAGAGCCTAAAATTTATTTTAATTTATTTCTAAATATTATTTTTTTATTTCTAACTAAATTATTAAAACCAATGGTGTATATTTAAATTATGCAGATATTGCCATCTTATTACTACCATTTCAACAGTTATTCCACAGAACAATACATTCTTGTCATGATAGACAGAGTGATCATCATCATTATTTAATAAAATAATGTTATGAAGGCAGGGTATAGTTACATCCATTGTATGTTTTTGTTTGTGTTCCAATCTTATTGTGTAACATAATAAACATACAGTGCTTGGCAGTTTAAGTTCGCAAGGTTTTCTTGGAGATAAATAAAACCCAAGCATACATTTATAATTTAGCAACTGGTGGTTATAATTATGAAGTGAGTGGAATATTCCACATTATTTTTATATTCCTGCTGAGGATAAATACTTGTGTTGAATCATTTTCTCTTATAATGAGAACCAAGCTATGCACATTTTCCTTACAAGACTGTTATTGTAACTGTAACTAGGCTTTCCATATTGTTTTAGCAGTTCTGTCCAACTGCATCAAGCAAAGAGCTCTACTGCACTGTTCCAGGTTCGGGGATTGAATCAACAAAAGCTGTCAGCCAAATAGCAGAGCTATTCTGTGTTTCAGCAGTTTCACTGAGTCTGTTCACTGAGATGAAGCTCACACTCAGGTAGGTCATGTATTTTGGCCAGGGATTCAAAGTTTTTCCAAACACCTCTTTTGCCCTTTTCCTGAAATGCTTGCCCACAATGACTAACAGGAAGGGATTAACCGCGCTGTTGCTGTATGCCAGATATGTGGACAGCTGTATGCCGATGTCCAGGACATGACCCCATAGGCATCCAGGTGTGACCTGGAAGTAATCCATAGTGTCAAGAAAGCGCATAACTTGGTGTGGTGTCCAGCAGAAGAGGAAGACAGCCAGAACAGCGAGGACCAAGTGGGTTGTCTTCCTCTCTGCCCTCGCCCCAGGGAGTCCTCCGGTTCCTCGATTGTTCAGTGCAGCCACAATATGACAAGTACAGTAAGCCACCACCAGGACAGGAATTAGGAAGCCCAATATGCTACTGGTGATGTTGTGGTGCAACCTCCAGACAGGGTGGGGGTAGGCCAGAATGCAGGCATCCACACCGGGATCCTCTATGTGTGACACTGTGCGGAAGAGCAGAGTGGGCAGAGTGAACAGGAAGCCCAGGCTCCAGATCCCCAGGCAGAAACGTTTAGCCCAGGAGGCTCTCCTCAGACGACTGGGACTCATGGGCTTCACCAGAGCCCGGTAGCGGTCCACACTGACCAGCATTAGGAACAGAATACTGCAGATGTAGTTCATAGAGATAGTCACATTAACAAGCTTACAGAGGACCTCTCCGAAGTCCCACTGGTAGCCTTGGGCAATTGTGACAGCCCAGAAGGGAAGGCAGGACATCATGATTAGGTCAGCAGCAGCCAAGTTCCCGAGGTAGACATCAGCCACCGTGCAGGGCTTCCTCTGCAGGCAGAACACAGAGAGAACCAGGCCATTTCCCACCAACCCCACAAGGCTGATCAAACCCAGGTAGGCTGGCTGCAGGGAGGACAGCCATAGCCAGGCTTCAGTGTAGTTACTGCAGTGGTCCAGCTCTGGGTCCACAGTCAGGACCAACCAGTCTGATGTATTCACATGCATTGGCAACTGTGAATACCAGTGATTTGAAGTCAAAGCAGTGTCATCATAAGCAACCAAGTTAACTTCATGTGAAGCACTTCTAAAGAGAAGTTTTGTGTATACATTTCACATAAATAACAAAAGGAGACATAACCTAAAATATATATAACAAAGATAAAGTTTATAACCCCTGCTGTCAGAGTGGTTGTGCCAAAATTTGGCTACTTTTAATTTAAATGACTAGGTAAAGTAATGGTTTTGGGTGACTTGTGATAAGTGGTTTCCCCTAACAAAAATACGATATTGCATTGAATCAGTCCCTCCTCTTTTCCAAGTATATCACAGAGATTAACAGGGTAATCTACACTATTAATCGGCATTTAGTAGCGTAGAATTGATGAGGACAAAACCAAATTACATATTTTATGTCACTACAACTAGGTTGACACGTTTTTCCTATTCAAGTTCTTCTTCGCTCATAATGATGTTGGCCTTGTAGGTCTTCATCAAGTGTTACCAAAGAGCCTCAGCATTAAATATCATGATAAATCCTTCTCCCTCCCTTAGAGATTCATGTGGAAATTAGAAATGTTTCGTCACTTATGAGAAACAGATACCATCAGACAGCTTTATTTATCGCGAAAGCTAGTGCATTGTTTCTGTCCTTGGCTCCAACACCAGAAATGGTCAACTATACACTGTGTACACAGTGTGTTCCTTCTCAGTTTTATTCAACTGCAGTTATTGCAATTGAATAAAATCTATATTTGTCCAGTGCAGCTGTAAGTAAAAATATGTGCAACCTCCCGATCCAGGCACTAGAAATGAAAGGGCAAAACTGCCAAGAAATACACATTCCTTTCTATGTGCCTTGTGGAAAGCTTTTTAGACACTCACCTTATCTCCGTGTCTCTATGTTTTGCATCCAGATGTGCCCCATGTTCATTCGCAGCAGATAATCGTCATGGTGATCTAGCTTCCACTGGAGTAAGTGCTGGGAGACAGATCACTCTTATATGTGCAGACCCAGAGATCATCATTGTGTCGTCACTCACAACTTCCATCTGTTTTTCCCCCACAGCTCCCCTGCCGTGTTCTGGCTCATCAAATTGGTATTCACTGTCCAGCAGCATTATGATTTCACTTAAACCCCTGACTCAGTGACTGGTGAGAGTTACACATAACTGTATTTACGGTTCTTTCTGTATTGGAAACATCAGCCACAAATGTACTTCTGGAAGTGTATGTCTCTGTCTTCAGTGTGATCAATGGGAAGCAAGTTGTTCAGAAAAAAACAATCAGAAAGGACAATAATGGGCAGGAAAAGATGGCTTTCAATTTCAGCAGTAACACTTGACAATAAGGGACACAAAAGTTATTAATGATTAGTTATTAAGAAACCAGTGATAAACAAATCAGGGATAACTTGATAAGTAGTTCTTCTGTGGGAACTTGGGAACTATTAAGTTGCCTAATAATTCCTAATGGAGATAAAGTAATGGTAAATGGACCTGTACTTGTATAGCGCCTTTCTAGTCTTCCGACCACTCAAAGCGCTTTTACACTACGTGCCACATTCACCCTTTCACACACATTCACTCACTGATGGCAAAGTCCATGGAAAAGAAACTAACATTCATACACATTCACACACCAATGCACGGCATCAGGAGCAATTTGGGGTTCAGTATCTTGCTCAAGGATACTTCGAAATGTGGCACCAGGAGTCGGGGATTGAACCCACAACCTTCTGATTAGGGAATCGATGTTGAAGAAGCAGTGTCCGATGTACTGTACATGTGTAGGCTATATGGCCAAGGGTCATTTTTCAAAACCAGTCCCTTGATGTGAATTGCCCAACCTCAGACCTAAAGCTCTTTTGGCCCAATAGGAAAACATCCTTGCAGCCAGAATTAAAAATTTGATGAGAAGCTTGAGACCAGAAGAGTGGAGACAGCAGTTGATCAATGCCCATGGGTCTGGTTCTGGTCTGAATGGTTTGCTTGTGTGCATATTTTGTTACATTGTCCATATACGTTTGGCCATATAATGTTCCTTGGTGGAGCTGCCATTAGAAAGGCATTACGTATATAAATAAACAATTACTCACATTTTTGATTCTGTTATAGGTATACACCGATCAGCCATAACATTATGATGACCTGCAGCCCAATATGCAACAAACTCTGATGCACTGTGTGTTCTGACACCTTTTAGAATTAACTTTTTCAGCATTTGAGCTACAGTAGCTCGTCTGTTGGATGGGACCACACGGGGTAGCCTTCACTCCCCACGTGCATCATTGAGCCTTGGCAACCCATGACCCTGTCTCCGGTTCACCACTTTTCCTTCCTTGGAGCACTTTTGATAGGTACTGTGGACCAGGAACATCCCACAAGAGCTGCAGTTTTGGAGATACTCTGACCCAGTTGTCTAGCCATCATAATTTAGCCCTTGTCAAAGTCGCTCAAATCCTCACACTGCCCATTTTTCCTGCTTCTAACATATCAACTTTGAGGACAAAATGTTCACTTGCTGCCTAATATATCCCACCTACTGACAGGAGCCATGATAACCAGGTAATCAGTGTTATTTACATGTCAGTCGTCATAATGTTATGGCTGATCGGTGTATATGGTTGCCTGCTGCATGTATATGCAATGTCTCATTATCATGCCAACTGCTCTCATATTTCATGAACCTTTACAGAGGTTTCATAACTGCTTGTAGAGACATTGGAGACATGTAAGAAAAATTAAAAAAAACACAGTAAGCTAGCTCACTATCTAATTTCAGACAGTAGTGGGCACAGGACAAGAGTAACAGACCATAGAAGGACTCAGTTTGGCTGATAGAACCTCTCCAGATCAGAATGTGTCAGCATTTCCACAGTCTAAAATAAACTCTTGCAAAATATGCTCACAGAATAGTACTTTATAATAATAACATTTACTGAAACTGAGATCCAACAGACCAATAAACAAGGGAGTGTGACTTCACACAAAAAAGCCAGATGTTTGAGTGTGTCAGTGTGAAAAACTTTATAGTATAGATGAAGCCAGTGTACATGGACATTTGTTTCTCTTCCCAGTTTATTTCGGATCTTTTCCTTGTTGTTTTAAGGTCTGTACGAAGATGAGCAGAAGGCAACACACACCACTTGCTTGGTTTCAGGGTGCAGCAAATCAAATCCCCCAAAGATCCAATTCTAAAAAGCAGTTCAGTATTTGATTTCATCATATGCCTGAGTGACAGAAGTTAATCAATTAAGTTTAAGCTGGAGTTCGACTCTCAAAAGGTAACCTCCTTGGATTTGCGTTTGATCAAACAAGTCAATTAGTTCAAAAAACAAAAACAAATAAACAAATAAACACAACAACCTTCACCTTGTGATAAATAACCTACACCTTGTAATAATCCTCTCAGGACAGTTACCATCCACAAAATATTAAGAATGCTAAACACAGGACTGAATTAAATATTTGGAGATTCAAAAGTGGAAAAAGACTCCTATAAAAGTCTGTCCATACCAAGAACAAAATGTATAACAATAACTATAAGGATAATGATGTGAGCATCCACACTGATGAACAATAATGTCGTTTTTGGTGGGAAAAGCCTTTAAGTTTTCCACAGTATGTGTCCTTGGATACTCAAAGAGGGCACAGCAAATTAAACACGCACTCAAAAGAAATTGGCATATGCTAACTAGTCACCCACAAGTAGGTGGACTGTACAAAGAACCTCCTAGGATAATGTTTCTGAGACGAAGAAGTTCAAATTTCCAGATGACCAAGATCAATCCAAAACTTTATCAGCACTTTACATTATTCCATAATTATGACTTATTACTGTTAGGATGGGCTATCTCATTTTATGACCACTCTATGTTCTGACACCTTTCTATAACAACCAGCATTTTCAGCAGTTTAAGCTACAGTAGCTCGTCTGTTGGATCAGACCACATGGGCCGGCCTTTGCACCCATGACCCTGTCCCTAGACGGCTTTTGACAGGTACTGACCACTGCAGACCGGGAACACCCCACAAGAGCTGCAGTTTTGGAGATGCTCTGACCCAATCACAATTTGGCCCTGGTAAAAGTCGCTCAAATCCTCACACTGCCCATTTTTCCTGCTTCTAACACATCAACTTTGAGGATAAAATGTTCACTTGCTGCCTGTTATATCCCACCTACTGACAGGTGCCATTATAATCACATAATCAGTGTTATTCACATCATATTCACATATATTTAAGTGTGGGTACCTGAGGTCCCAAATTACACTGCATGCTGATAGAAGAAATTCTTAAACTAATGCCAATTGACAATATAAGGAAAAAATATCTATTAATTGGGCCAGAGACATTTTAATTTTGCACACCTCACAAGTTACATTTGATGAAACCTAGACAATCCCCAAATTGCATGCTTTGCCCTGAGGGATTTTCTGGCACTTTTTTGAATGTGGTATGGGAATGTCCATTAGTTTTTATATTTGAGTATATTTAAGTTTGTCAGAGAAAATAGAACATACCATTCTCTCTGATGTCGATAAATGTTTTAGATAGGGTAGTAAATGTATATAGTTTGTTTAGGGAGTAGTGATTTTATGGTAGGAGGATGACTGATAAGAATCTGGTCACAGTCACAGGGGCAGATCAAAGGAGCATTTGTGTTGAAGACCTAAAATCTTCATATGCAATTTACAGCAGTACTGTTAATAGGATACCAGATGTGTTTTTGGTTGGATGTACTGAAAGGAATATAAGGGAGAGCATTCGCAAGGTCTAGAGAGAACATAGATGCTCTATCCATGCTGCATAAATAAAAAGTATTTTTCTATGGCTGCAGTTAGGCTGCCTGGCCTAACAACAGCAAAAACAATTGATCATGTTATGTTGGCAAGCCCCGCATTCTTTGCAGAAACAAAAGCGGTTACTTACTTTTCTAGATATTCTTTACATGGAACAATCTATTGCCAATCAATGCCCCATGGTGCAAAACAAATTAGTTAATTTCAGTTAATGCTGTTGGAAGCATGAGGCGATACTGTCTGTAATACCTTTATGCTGTAGAGTGGGTCATATGTGTCTCGTGAAGTTGTTTCTTTCTGGTCGTGTGTTCTTTATCCTCACTAAAAAATTGGATCACAAAATCCCCTGAAACCCCCCCGAAACATGAAGCATATTGGATTACATATTCGATTAGAAACTCACACCTTTGGGAATGAACAAGGACCTGGATGGATCATCATGTGAAGCAAACCCAACCTACAGCCGAGATACTAAATAGATTTTTATAATTGACCAGCTGACTGTGTATGGTTTCCAATAGGAAGCTTAGGAAGAATCAGCTGAGCCATAAGCTGATGTGTGTTTACGACTAGCTGTGATCAGCTGATATAGTTGTCCTCTTTTCTATTTAAATATTCATTAATAAATATATGTTTTAAACATATATTTTTAGTTAAGTCAAAAGACATGTTTCAATTCAATTCAATTCAATTCAATTTTATTTGTATAGCGCCAATTCATAACAGAAGTTACCTCAGGACACTTTTCAAATAGAGCAGGTCTAGACCGAACTCCTTATAACATTTACAGAGATCCAAACAGTACCACCATGAGCAAGCACTTGGCGACAGGGGCAAGGAAAAACTGCCTGTTAAAAGGCAGAAAACTAGGACAGACCCTTCCGCTCTAGTTGGGTGGTCGTCTGCCTCGACCAGTTGGGGTGAGAGAAAGAGAGAGAGAGAGAGAGAGAGAGAGACAGACAGACAGGTGCACAGCAACAAAAGATATTCAGATATGTCTACTGAAGTTAGCATGCTAACCAGCTAGCTTTTGGCCTGTCGTATCTAATAATAATAATAATATTAATATCACTTTATACCTCAAGAGGCAATAGTCTGATTGTACAGCTCAGGTCTCAGAAGCTGTCCTGGTCGGCTGTGTTCACTGGGAGGCTACTGAG